AATTTCTCCCATTTTTCCCCGTTACCGGGGGGGGGTGAGCGCCTCGGCGTGGGGAAATAAATGAAAATTTGTTGGAAATTTTTTAAAAATTTAAAAAAAAAACTTCAAAGAAGCAGAAAAGGTCGCATGCGGAGCAGAAACGCGCGGAAAGAAAGGGAGAAGAAATGGAATTGAGGCTGGGAATGGATTTTTTTTTCCCCCAAAAAGAGGCTGAAAAGCTGGAATGAGACTTCTGGAAAAGTTGGGAATTGCTGAAATCTCCGGAACGGGGAAGGTTTCAAGCAAAGGCAAAAGAATTCCCGAGGTGTGGAGCTGCTGTGGGAAGGATTCGTCGTGTTTATGGATGAAAATTGGAGTTTAAAGCAGTGGCGAGAGGACCGGGTAGGGCTGTGGGTGCCAAAAGAAATGAGGAAAAATACGGAAATTTGGGAAAAAAATGATAGGAAATGAAAAGAAAAAGAGGAGGAAAAGGAAGCAAAAACGCGCGGAATAGAGAAAAATTGGTGCTCAAGAGGGAAAACGTGGAGGTAGCGGAGCCTGCGTCAGGCAGCGCTGTGGGAAGCGGGAGCCGAGGCGGTGGCGCCGGGATTTGGTGGGAAAAAAAGGAGAATTGGGGAAAAATCCCAAAAACCAAAAAAAATGCCCAGAGTGGCTGGGATTGGCTCTGGGAGGAGCCTCCTGGAGGGCTGCGGAGCATGGAAGAGGAGTGATGCAATGCGTGACGCGGAGCTGCACCGTCCCCTTGCCCAGTTAAGCAGCCCCCAAGGATTGTCCCCGGCTCCATGCAACGCATTTTGGGGACGCGCCCGGCTCCCCGGCCAAGCCGGCTGCAAGCCCGGGGTGTCACCACCGTGATGTCATGGATGCCATGACGATGATGTCACTGATGGTAGAAGCAGGACATCGCTGCTGGTACAACCAGGATGTCACCGATGGCACAACCGTGATGTCACCGATGGCTCAACTGGGATGTCACTGATGGCACAGCCATGATGTCACTGATGGCACGACTGGGATGTCACTGATGGCATAGCCATGATGTCACCAACAGCACAACCATGATGTCACCAATGGCTCAACTGGGATGTCACCACCGGCCCAACCATGATGTCGCTGATGGCATAGCCATGATGTCACCAACAGCACAACCATGATGTCACTGATGGCACGACCGGGATGTCACCGATGGCTCAACTGGGATGTTACCACCGGCCCAACCAGGATGTCACCGATGGCTCAACTGGGATGTTACCACCGGCCCAACCAGGATGTCACCGATGGCTCAACTGGGATGTTACCACCGGCCCAACCAGGATGTCACCGATGGCTCAACTGGGATGTTACCACCGGCCCAACCAGGATGTCACCGATGGCTCAACTGGGATGTTACCACCGGCCCAACCAGGATGTCACCGATGGCTCAACTGGGATGTTACCACCGGCCCAACCAGGATGTCACTGATGGCTCAGCTGGGATGTCGCTGATGGCACAGCCATGATGTCATGGCTGGCACAACCATGATGTCACTGATGGCTCAACTGAGAAGTCACCACCGGCCCAACCAGGATGTCACTGATGGCACAACCATGATGTCACCGCGAATGCCTAATTCCTCTGGATGCCCCCCCGCTGGTTTCTGATCCCGGGGGCCCCCCAACAGCCCCACTTGGCAGGGGGGGGAGAAACTTGGTTGAAGGAGCCCCAAAACCTCCTGTTCTTGCCTCAATGTTGGCCGGCGGTCAATGGGGGGCGCTGTTGGGGGGAACCTTTGAGCCCCCCCCCAAATCTCCTCTCCAGTGACCGAGTTAACGATCGCATCGATGGTGCTCGCCCCACCCTTGCGCTAATTGGGCGTTAATGAGGGCGCTAATTAAGTGCTCCCCACCCTGCCTTGGGGCTCTGCGGCCAATTCGGGCCCAATTAACCCAAAATCCAGGGGGGGGTTGATCACCGCTACAATGCCGGGCTCCGGGATGGGGTCACCGGGGTGGGGGTGATGCGGGATGATGACACGAGGAAACACACCCACACCCCCACCCCCAATCGCCCCGCAGAGCCCAGGACTTCGCATGCGGAGAGCGGGGAAGGTGGGAGGAAGAGGAAGGGCGGG